CCTATAAACAAAGTAAATCATAAAACACAAAATTAGCATAGAAAAGCCACACAAAAAAAAGGAAGCAAATTAAACCAATAACATGCAAGTAAGTTAAGTTGATCAAACTACATTGGCAATTTTACATATAAAGTTGAAAGAACAAAACAAGAACAATAAATGACTTATAAAACAGAAAAGGGTTTTGACGTGATTTCCGAAAAAGAACAATCGAGAGAGTGCGTGAAGCGAATTGGAAAGGACATTAGAATGTGTGTTTAGAGTTAGGGTTTGGAACAAAAACTTACCAGAAAATTTAAAAGGGGAAATGAAAATAGATGGAACGGGAAAAAGGAAGAAAGATAGTTGGTGAAAGTGAAACCGAAAGGGGAGAGAGAGAGAGAGAGCGTGTCCGGTAGCGACGGATGCAGATGCAGACACAGACAGGGTCTAGAGTTCGGCTTTGACAGAGTGAAACAATAATGAAGGATAGTGGTTGTTCAATTTTGATTTTAGATAAAAATGTTACTAGTATAGTTGAATGTACTATGTCTACTTTTCATAGCCACCAATTTTGTTACTTATCTAAACCAACACAGTACATCTTTAATCGGTGAACAATAAGAAACTAAAATTGAGTCAATAAGTTATTTTTCCTCGGACTAAATTACCGTATACGATTTTAAAAAAAAATAGTTGATATGATTTATCTACTTTTCTATATTTAATATAATAAAAATAATTACCACCATAGTTACATCATTAACTAATTAAAATCAGTTTTAATATAGATTTTTAAAGACAAATAAGTAAATATAATTTCTAATTATTCTTTTAATTTAAATTTTATTTTTACTGGATCATAATCATAATCATTTGTTTAACTATATTTCACTTCTCTACGGTCTCTCTTTCTAAATTCCAAAACATCTATTCAATATCCAATATTGGAAACCCTCTTATTCTCACAATTGAAAATCAAACTAAATCAAATCAAAACCGTAAAAAATTGTATTTGGTTCGAATGTGCTTGAGTCATCTTTTAACAAAAATGCAATGTTCGATTCAGTTTGCGGCTTGTAATTTGCAACCGAACTAAACCAAATCAAACCGCATTACGTTACAACTTTAATTTTACTTAATTCACATCCAACCGAAACTTAAATCTATTATACCTTGCCTATTACAAACAATTTTCTCATCCTTACACTTATGGTTTTAGTTCTGGTCTTCTCAAATATCTCATAGCATTATCGTTCATTCTTCGCCACATACATCATGTCTCTTCTTCTCTAATTTCTACTCTCTTATATTCTTTCTTTTTCACCTTCTCATTTTTATGCAAATGTTCTTTCTTTCAATTCCGTTTTTATCGCACATCTTCTTCTCTAATCTTTTCTCTCTTATGTTCTTTCTTTTTCATCTTCACTAATCTTTCATCTCTTCTATTTTTTATTTCATTATAATATTTTTGATATTGTTTTATGCTATTATTTTATATTTATTATTCCACTTTTGTCTAATCTAATTTTTATATTTTAAATGGGAAGTTGTTGTCCAAATTGATGAATTTTGTTGATATTTGATAGCGTATGAATGACTAAATACAAAGTTATGTTGTCGTCTATATGTGTATGTATGGCTCAATAAAATATTTATAAAGAATCAAACCAACCAAACTGAACCAAAATATTGGTTTTGTTTGATCTTTTCTAAAAGGCAATCGAATCAAACAAAATCACACATTTTTTTCTCTTGCAGTTCAGATGAATTTTATCGTTAAAACCTCTCAAATCGCACCACGAACACCTATAGTATTATGTGTGAACACATTCTATATTTCTACTGCCAGGTCAAACTTTTCCAACGACTATGAAGCTCTGACACGCTAATTAGAAGGTGTGTCTCCGCACCTGACACGTATTGAACACTGACTCACGTACGACACACATACCACACATATCAGACACATTTTTGAATTGTCCAACAGAAAAAATAAATTGAAACACAACAGACACAACTACGACACACTATTTTAAATAACGGACACACCAACCTCTAAAACTCTCAGAATTAAAAAAAAAATACATTTCATATTTCACTTTCTCACTGTAAAAACAACTTGTATTCCTTGTTTTTTATCTTCTCTTTTTATTTTCATCTTCTTTGTTTGTTTTCATTTGTGACGCACGCTGGTATTCCGTCATCGTCACCGCTGATATTCTACTCTTTTTCTTCTGATACTCATTCCTTTTATTTCTTTATTATTTGTCTTTGTTTCTGTTTCCTGTTGTTAATTACATACGTCGACGACAATACTTTACTCGTGTTATTATTTGTAAATTGTCTCTGTATTTCGTTTATGTTTCATGTTAATTATAAAAATATGTTACTGGACGTTTATGTGCGGATAAGTTTATTTACTATCAATAAATACTGATTTAGATATATATAAAATATATTTATATTAATATTTTTTATTAAAAAATTACAATAATTTAATATTTTACAATTTATAATATATAAGTTAAACTACAGTTTTAATCCTCATATTTTAGTCAAATCACGAAACCAATCCTTCTATTTTATTTTCAAACAATTTTTGTCCCTTTATCCTATTTTTAGTATGACATGTAATTTTTTTTTAATAGTTGACATATTTTGGATGTGGATATTGTCAACTTGTTCATCCCTATTTCACATATCATTTTCTTTTTCTTTTATTTAACGATTAAATTTAAAATAATTAAAAAAAACTAATAAATAATAAAATAAAAAACAAAAATCAAAAGTAGAGTAACATGTAAAAATTAATAATAATAATAATAATTATAATAATAATATTAATATTAATAATAATAATAATAATAATAATAATAATAATAATAATAATAATAATAATAATAATAATAATAATAATAATAATAATAATAATAATAATAATAATAATAATAATAATAATAGAAAATAAAAATAAAAAATCTTAATTTTAAGGAAATTTATTGAAAGTAAAAATAATATTGTGTAACTATTTTATTTTGTCAATCTATATGAGCAGACATCTTATATAGATGTTTCTTTAAGAAGTCTTGAATTTAAGATCAAATAATTTACTTAAGCTATTTCCACCTGTCTCTTTCTTTTTGTCACATTTTTCAGGTATAAAATGTAGAGGAGGGCACTTGAAAACTTTCTCTCTCAGATTTTTAATCCAAATTCTAAATCCCTAAATCTCAAATCTATATTCCAAATCAAATTGCTTTATGTATAAAAATTAAATTTAAAATTCTAAATCTCAAATTCTAATTTCAAAATTAAAATCTGAGATCAAAATCAGAGGTACATAAAAAAATTACTAAAAGAAAAAGTGAGAATGAAAATAGAAAAGATAATTAGAACATAAATGAATTATTGAAGAAGAAGAGAAAAGTTTAAAGATGAGAGAATAAAATAGATCTGAAATTTATTTTAGTTTATCGTGTTCATCTTCTCACCCAGAAATTTTTTTATTTTAATTTCTAAAATTGATAAATATAATATTAATAAGTTTTAATTTTTTTTAATAAATAAACAAATAAAAAAAATTATTAAAATAACACGAAAAATGATTCTTTAACATTTATTATGCTAAGTCAGCAGCATATATGTCATGTATTTAAAAAATATTACACATCAATGTTTTTTAGATGAAAATAAATATGAGGGAGCAAAATTATTTAACCAAAAGTAATATATATATATATATATATATATATATATATATATATATATATATATATATATATATATATATATATATATATATATATATATATATATATATATATATATATATATATATATATATATATATATATATATATATATATATATATATATATATATATATATATATATATATATATATATATATATATATATATATATATATATATATATATATATATATATATATATATATATATATATATATATATATATATATATATATATATATATATATATATATATATATATATATATATATATATATATATATATATATATATATATATATATATATATATATATATATATATATATATATATATATATATATATATATATATATTTAAAAAGTGAATAAACATGTTCAATACTATAAATTTATTATAGCAATACTTTTACTTGACAAATATCTAAATCTCCCACCATATCTATTTAGTTCATAATATTGAGAAAAATAATAGACAAATATTTATATAATTCTCTTTAATATAGGCAACTTATAATAGAATTAAAACACTTAAGTTAATATAATAGAAACACATTCAATACTATGAGATTATTATGGTAATACAATATTTGAATTCATTACATTTATTAAAATATCAACAATTTCATAAGTCATTGTTATCTACTCAATTAAATTTAAATTAATAATAAACTCAATCACATTTTTTCAACAAAATATATAACATGTTTTTATTATAAATCCAATCAAAATTAACAGGAAAAAATTACAATAGTGAGGAGGTAAGACCTAACCTTCTAAATTAAGAAATGAAA